TGCTTAACAAAGGGGAAGACAGAGTCTTAAAGGAACAGATTCAAAGTTATTGAGGAACATTAAATACCGGCACCTACAAGATGGGTGGGGGGGTGGAGAGGGGAAACTCCAAAATGAAGTAGAAACTGCTCAGTGTATTCTACCAGCACTGGGGTAGGAAAATCACACTGTGCTGGGGGAAGCCTGGGTTATGTTTTAAAAAAACAATAAGGCATGTTTTCAAAGACTGTATTCTTTACCATCTCTTGGAATAGAATTACACAAGCAATACACAAGAACCTACCAGATCCCCAAAGGTTTAAAATGGTACTTTTCTTTGTTCCCTTATGGGGCAAATTTGTGGTGAATAGGGTATATTCAATAGTATATTGATTAACCCATAATCAGGTATCTCTTCTGAATTCTTTCCCTGATCCCAGCTGCATTTTCAAGATAGGACATGACCCAAGAGAAGAGAAGAAGTGCCTTCTAAAAATAGGCACTAAGAAGTGCAGTAAAAGTGACAGTAATTCCTTCTGCTTTTATAAGCAGATTGAGGTAATAAATCTCTTGCTGTACCATATAAATTTCCTGTCCACAGTCGTGGGGAAATGGCTGCCTTCTTGCTTTGGTAATCCAGAAGATAAACTGCAGTATTCCTAACACAGGTTGGTATGGTATTCACTACTTGTACATTCGTATTGTTATTGGCTCCCTTGTTCAAATGTTTTGTGGTGCAATTCATTAATGTTTGTGGGAGGCATTACCTTTGGATTGAGCTATAACAGGAATTTCTCAGTGGAAAGGTTTTCTTCAATGTTAATTTTATAATTGTAATTTTGGCTCTACTGTGAAACCTTACACAGAATGCTGTTGAAGACCCAGATCTAAGTAGGGTCCAGGAGATGCACTAGGTTGATACAGACCTTTTTACTTCTGGAGACCTAGGTTTCAAATCTGATAAATTACATGTGACTGAATGTGGTGTGTTCATCCTGTTCCTTCAGATCCATGGATGGCACTGAGCTGCTGGAAATGAGAAACTGAACATACAGCTTTAGTTTTCTCTAGAATAGATGACTGACTCTTCTGCCACTGTAAAATACCAGTTCTAAAAATCCATGACTCGGTCTCCCTATAGCGACATTTGCTAAAAGAAATGGAATGGAGAGTTTCCTCTGATTTCAATCTGGGTGTGTGGTCCATTGTGTTTAATCATTAATTTAAAATGTAATCATTTGACAGATTTAATTTGCCCATATCTTGCGTACTTAAAAAAAAGTTTTAAGGACTCATTTAAGTTGCAAGCATTTTTGAATGCCATGATTCATGCTGCTGTGGAAAGTATTAGTATATCCATTATAAAACACCATTTTCAGGTTTTATATTATGGGCTGCCCTAAAAGAGAGGCAAATTTTGCCTTTGATTACTAAATAATTTTAATGTTGTCTTCATTTTTCCATACAGAAAGTATAGGGAAGTCTAGATTATTTTGCAAATACAGAGATAAGGCTGTTTAGGCCCCAGTCTTGCAAACACTGATGCGCTTAACTTTACTCTTGCCATCAATCCTAGTGATGTCACCTGGGTACAACTGAGCATGTTTATAAGTGTTTTTAGGATCAGGATTTTTGTTTTCTAAGGCAAAGTTGCTAAGTTTTTAGGGGTGACTGCTGTATTAAGATGCCCATAAAAATTTAAATTGGGCTTAAAGTTATCAGAGAAATTGTTGGAAGGAATTTTTTGAGAAATTGAAGGAAAAAATTGTTTTTGAGTGCAAACGAATAATGGAATATATTGGTTTTTAATGCTGTTTTTGGTGTATGCTTTACATTTCATAATTTTATACCTAAAATTTTAAAGGGATACTGTAAGGTTGTTCATGCAAGAAGTTTGATGAAAGCCTATATTAATAGCAATGTTTGTAATTTTAATGAAATTGAAAATCACTTTGGATTTAAATTATCTCTTTCCATTGTTCACTGTAGCATTGAACTAGTGCACGAGAACTAGGATGTGGCAGTGATAAGCCTACTTTTATTGTCCAAGATGAAAGAAATACAAAAAGTAAATACCTTGGAATACCCTGCCAAGTCTTAAATATCAGAGCAACTTTACTCATATTGGAGGCAATTAAACTCTTTATACGAAGAAGTCTTTGCAGATTCTGGCCCTGTTAGTGGAGGAAGCAAATCTGATTTTCAAAATTGTTTCAATTTTAATAGTCTAACGTAGTAGTAATAGGAAAAGAATTTGGTTTATTTTTAATTATGACTCTTAACTTGACAGTTCCTGTAGACTGAAAAATGGGCTATCAATTTTTATTTTCGGATATCTTGGGGAGAAATTACAGGTGTCTGTGATAGTGCATTTAAAAATTTGGTGTATAGCATGTTTTCACAAGGATGACTTATTTTTGAGGGGGCAGTGGAAACTTCATCATTTAAATACAGTGGCTTAGTGAATTAATGTAATGCAGATTTGGAGTTCATACACACTCCTTGAAAACATGCAACTTAAACCCTCCCCTCCCACTGCAAGGAGCCACTATAATTCAGTCATATCTAAACTGAGTTTTATAAAATATCAAAAATATGAATGTACCCCATAAACTATGACAGCTTTATGGCAAATGGGGCAAACTCTTCAAAGTATTGCTAATTACGAATTCACATAAGACTACCACTAAATCTGCAATTACTTTTGACTAGGGATGCCCAAATTTTTGTCCAGCTGAGTCACATTAGCAACTTACCATGAGCCTGAGGGCTGTATGTGAGGAGTAAACAGATTCGAGCCGTACTGTCTGAGTGATGGCTTGTTTAATATGGTGGTAGAATTTGAACAGTTAATGGTTTGATCAGATGAGCCTTTCCCATTAACTGCTGATGGTATTACATGTGGTCTTGCACCAACATATGCTACGAGCAGCCAGAGAGACTATTTTGATCAAGGTAAAGAAATGCACCTTAGCGCAAGGGTCCCATGGGGAATACAACTACTTACTAAAGGTAAATATAGCCCTGGATCACTTTTGACTTGTAGGCTGCCCATTGGGCACCATGGCTTTATGAACAATATTCTTCTGCTCTGTTTAAATTAGAGATGGACCAGACTAAAAGCATTTAATTTGAATCCCACCCTAACCTTTAGCCGTCGACATGGACTCAAGCTGAGATACAAGTCCTGTCTACTTTGGTTTTCTCAGCCCATGGCTAATTTAAACTGGTTGTGATATTGTTTTGTGACATTTGAATCTGAAACACTATTTTCATCCCCAATTCTGCTTTTATTACAAATTGAAAGTTATTCCAACATCCTTATTCTTCGTTTCCCAGTTTGGAGTCTGTTTTGTGAATCATTGCTGCTGTGAATGATCCATTCAGAGAAACGGGGAGAATCTCCTAGAGTGAAGGAGAAGATGGAGATGCTTGCAGTACGTGGCCAGGAGACCGGTACAGCACATAACTCTTGTGTTCCTTTTTCAAAACAAGAAAGAACATGCAGATTTTCTTATCAAGTCAGCAGATATTTTAAAGTATTACTGATAGTATATATGACAAATCCTGTTCTTGCTTGGAATTTAGTCTTCTTTGTTTCTTTATGTAGTACCAGACAGGTGTGAGTCAGGCTTTACAGGCACAATTGAGGTAAGGGCCTAATTTTTTATAAGTGAGTAGTGACTTTGGGAAGCCTGCTTTTAAATGCCTTAAAAGAGTCTGATTTTTCAGAAAGTACTGAGCACTTTCCCTCCAAATCAGGTACCTTTTAAATATTTCTCAAATTGTGCATCCAAAATCACTAGTGTTTCCCAATAATTTAGGTCAAAGTCCCTATCTCAAAGAGCTGACACTCTTAAGGTGCTGATCTGGCAAACAAGCATCTGAATAATTTAACTGAAGTCAGTTAATTTAAAGCTAAGCACAGGCATAAGGCTCAAGACCTAAAGTGATAGCAAAACCAAAATGAACTGTCAATAAATGTAGAGAGGCTGTGGAAGGAGAGCAGTAAACAAAAGAAGAGATGTGGTCTTTGTCTGGTGTAGCTATCTGCAGTGACCCAAGCTGACTGTATTGTGGCTAGGTTTTTTGTTTGTTTTTGTTTTGTTTTTTAATATACATTTTTTGTGAGGGAGTGATCAGTCTGGTGGAAGAACTGAAGTTTTAGGAGACATTTGAATGAGAAGGAACTTGTTTGGTGCATTAAATCAGGGAGACATTTGCAAGCATAAAGGCAGCATGGAAAAAAGCACAAAAAGCGTGTAGTATAGAGACAGTGCGAGAGTGAGCAAGCATGGAGCACTGGGCCTGGTGCAAGACTTGAGGCCTGAACCACAGTCAGCAAAAGCAGGCTAAGCTATGAACCAAAGTCAGGCCATATATGAAAGCAGGTGCTTACAAGTTCACTGTCTGACACACGAACTTGGCAAGGGTACTGCTAGCATTGTTAAAACACAGGCACGCCTAAGAAGTACCGGCACTGGGTATGTATGTGAACACCTTCCAAAAGATGAGCCCAGGTACATCCTGACCTAGCACAAGATAAGAGGGTTTGACAGAAGTGATGAAGAGGGATGTTTTTCCTGAGATATCAGGAGATACAAGGGGAGGTAACAAGCAGATGTCATGAAACCTGTAAGGTAGTACATACGTTTTGTCTGTCGATCAACATTGGGGTACCTCGCCTTAATTCTTTGTGCAGCCAAGGGGACAGCAGAGACTCCCACAGCTGACTGAGCCACTCCTTAACACTGGGCACTCATGTGTTAGTGTACCTGTAACCACAGAGCCAGGGCGCTGGTACTGTCTTGAGGCCAATAAACCTGGCCAAGTGCCTTTGTCACCGAACTGAGCCTGTGGTCTGTCTTACGTGTAACATCAAGGTCTGCTCAGTGTGCAGGCTGCACTCTCTTCCAATGCTGATAACACCAGAGCTCCAAGAAGAGAAGCACTGAGCACCTGTAACAGCTTAGCAGCCTGGACAGTGTTACTGTCTTAACAGCATTCCAGCCTTCAGTGCTTAACAGCATTCCAGCCTTCAGTGCTTAACAAAGGGGAGTGAGAGAAGGAAATTAAGAGAATCTGTTAGCCCTTGACTGGTTTTACTAGTGAGATGCTTGACTTGAGGCAGGATGGAGAAGGGTAGTCACCCTGTGAAAGCACAAAAAAGGAAGAGAGGGAATAATAGAAAGTGTTGAAAATCAGAGTGTATTTGGGAGTGAGGGAGCAGATCAAATTTATTTGGCCTCTGTCAGAAAATCATCTAGGACCAGATTTATAAAGATATTTAGGCACTTGAAGATTCAGATAGGTGCCTAGTGGGATTTATAAAGTGTCTCAGTGAATTAGGTGCACAGGTCCTATTGACTTTCAATGGGAGTTAGCCACCTATTCTCAGACTTTTGTATGTTAATATTGTCAGTTTTCTCCTATTTCCTGGGCAGAGCATAGGACTTTAGAAACGATCCAATACTGTTGTAAAAATCTAGTTTCCTATTGCATATAGGCCTGATTTTGATTAATGGTCATAAACTGATAAGGGCCAAAAGTCTTATGCCTCCTTCAGATTTCAAATAGGTCTAGATTTTCATTGTGTCTGCACACTATTCCTGTTCTCTTTATGTAGGGGAAATGGTGCTGTTTCTGATAGGAATGATGCTTTCCCCATTCCCAGGAGGTAATGTACAGGATGGCTGATAGTGGTACAGATTTCTTAACTGAACTCTCAGGTCAGACTGGAATGTGCATTATTATTATATATTCCATAGTCCTTGAGATGTGATGGGCACTTTCCAATGTCGAGAGAGATACAATCCCTGCCCCAAAGAGTTTACAATCTAAAAGAAATCCCTAAAACATGAGCAAGGCAAAGTTACTACAGTACATGGATGGAATAAATGTCAACTTGGATTCAAACTTAAATAGGAGTGGGATGCCCATGGGGAATATGTTTCTCTGATCATTGGACAATTGCTTGCCCTGCACAAATACAGCTGATAAGAAGGTATGTACCATAGAGATGACAACAGGGAACCTTTTCTTAAGGAATTACCAGTTGGGTATCTGGGACACATTATAAGGGAATGTAAATTCAAGTGAGTTACCTTCTCAGAGGTCTGGGCCACTACTTGGCTTTTTTGATCAGCTGTTTGTGCTGAAATGCACTGCACTCTCTTGTTTCTTGGGCTCAGGTTTATCTCATGTTCTGACTCTAGTGTTACAAGAATTGAGCCTGTTCTGTAAAAGTGATGTCAATGGAGTTGGAGTGTTATACGACCTGCTCAGATCTCCCTGGCTGCAAGCTCTCCTAAAGGTAAAGCCCTCTTTGTCTGCCAGGCCAGTCTTCCTTGGAGAACAATATCTCCAACTGGCATCTCCTTCACTGTGCCATGTGGAGATACTTCAGATTAAGGTGGAAAATCCCAGTGTACCTGGCTAATTGGGTAATACCATGCAATCACAGGTAGATTTAAGATTGGCTGCAGGTGGAGATCTGTACCCCAGTTGTAAAATGGGTGTGATATCCTGTTTTGTATGAATGAAAAGTACTATACGAGTGTAAAATATTTACTATTGATTGCATTGGTGTGACGTATAATCAAGGGCTGTATGTTGGCATTAGACTGAACTGGGAAGGAAATTTTTCCTGTTAGACAAAACAGTTCAAAAAACTAAGTTAAACATTTTAGCAGGAAAGGAATTTTTGAAAGTCTGTAAACAGGTCCAATATTAATAAAACAAAAATAAAAAAACCCTTCTAGGTCAGCGGTCACCAACCGGTCGATCATGATCGACTGGTCGATCCTAGAGGATCTCCCAGTCAATCGCGATCTCCGGCGGCGCAGCGTGGCTGCCACTAAGGCAGACTCCCTATCCCAGCCCCATGCTGCTCTCGGAAGTAGCCAGCGCGGCTCCGCGGGTGGGGGCAGGGCGGGGGATCTCCCTCTGCATGCTGCTCCTGCCTGCAAGCACCACCTCTGCAGCTTCCATTGGCTGGGAGAGCTGCAAGGGAGGTGCTTGCAGAGAGGGGCAGCGCATGGAGCCCTGTCCCCCCGCGGGGCGTGTTGGCCCCTTCTGGGAGCAGTGTGGAGCCAGGGTAGACAGGGAGCCTGCCTTAGCCTCGCTGCACCCACCACTGTAAGTGCTGCGCCGCCGGATGTAAGTGCTGCCTGGCAGAAGGCTGCACCCAGCCCTGAGCCCGCTCCCAGACCCAGCACCCCATACCCCCTCCTGCACCTCAAGTCCCACTCTGAGTCCCCTCCCAGAGCCCACACCAAGCCCCCGGTTCCTGCAGCCCAGCCCATAGCCCCCTCCCGGAGCCAGCACCCTGTATCCCCTCCTGCACCCCAGGCCCCAGCCCTGACCCCCCTCCTGGAGCCAGCACCCTGTACCCCCTCCTGCACCTCAACACTCTGCCCTAGCCTGGAACCCCCCTCCTGCACCCAAACTCCCTCCTAGAGCTTGCACTCCTCACCCCCTTCTGCACCCCAAGTCCCATTCTGAGCCCCTTCCCAGAGCCAGCACCAAGCCCTCTCCTGCAGCCCAAACCCCAGCCCATAGCCCCCCTCCCAGAGCAGCACCCCAAACCCCCTACTGCCCCTCAACACTCTGCCCCAGCCTGGAACCCCCTGCTGCACCCAAACTCCCTCCCAGAGCCCGCACCCTGCACCCCCTCCACACTCCAACACTCTGCCCCAGCCTGGAACCCCCTCCTGCACCCAAACTCCCCTCTAGAGCTTGCACTCCTCACCCCCTCCTGCAGCCCAACCCCCTGCTCCAGGCTCAGCCCGGAGCTTCCTCTCACACTGCGAACCCCCGAGCCCCAGCCCAGAGCCCGCACCCCCTCCCAAACCCCTACCCGCTACCCCAGCCCGGTGAAAGTGAGTGAGGGTGGAGGAGAATGAGTGACCGGGGGCTGGGGGAGATGGAGTGAGCCGGGCAGGGCTTTGGGGAAGGGGCGGGGTAGATCCTGGGTTACCCTTAGATTAAAAAAGTGGTCTTGGGTGTAAAAAGGTTGGAGACCACTGTTCTAGGTGAATAAAAATTTCCTTGAAGTCAGTCTTTAAATTTGGTGATTTACTTTAGCTTTGGTATTTTAGTAAGGATTACAGTTAGGGGAAGAAAGGAAACAGTGGAATCTCTGAGGATTGCCATACTGGATTAGAGCATTGGTCCAGTGAGCCTGTTATCTCGCCTTGGACAGTGACCTATTACAGATACTTCAGATTAAGGTGGAAAATCCCAGTGTACCTGGCTAATTGGGTAGTACTATGCAATGTCAGAGATTTAAAATCGGCCTCAGCTGGCAATCTGTAGTTAGGTCCTGAATCAGAAGGACTGATAGCCTTAATCATCAAGGCCAAGATTTTGTCATGGATATTTTTAGTAAAAGTCACAGACAGGTCACGGGCAAAAAAGAAAAAATCATGGAAGCCGTGACCTGTCCGTGACTTTTACTAAAAATATATCTGACAAAATGGGGATCTGCCAGTCCCCACACTGGCTGAAGCGGGGCAGCTGCGTAGGGGCTAGGAGCCACCCGCAGCACGGGTGGCTCGGGGATTCCCCTGCCAGCAGCTGTGGGCTCGGGGAGCCGCCAGAGGTGCCGGAGGGACCCTGCAGCTCCCTGCCCCCGCTGGTGGTGGGGACCTGGCAGCTCCTGACCACCGCAGGCTGAAGTCACGGAGGTTGCTGGAAGTCGTGGATTCCGTGGCCTCCGTGACTAAATCGTAACCTTATTTATGATTTTTATTCTAGCTAGTCCTAGAAAATCCTTAGAGGTGTGGCATTGCTGTATGTGTGTATGTTTTCATCCATATGAATGGATCACACCATGGGTGTGCATCCATTGAGTAGTATTGAATTGTGCTCTTATCTTTATCATTTCACCCTATAGGTTTATGAATGCCTCCATCAATCTATCAGAAAAAAACCAGTCCCAGTCACACCCCAAGCGCGTGCACTATCTCGTGAGGTGAGATTCCATAAGAGACTATATTCCTTTTTTTTTAACTGAACCCTAATCTGTTAACTTGATTGCACATAATAATATTCTGCATATCTGTGGCGCAGCCTGTCTGAGGAGCTGAGTGCACATCACAAGCATTAATTAGTTTAGCCTCGCTCCCTTGTGAGACAAGTAGTTAATCATCTCCATTGTACAAATAGGGGATCAAAGACACATAGAAGGTGTAGAATTCCCAGAATCACATAGTCTGTGGCAGAGTGACTACAAGTCCTGTGCATTAACTGCTAGATCATCCCTCCTCCCCAATTCACAACCTGCCTTGTCATAAAAGCTGACCATAAAGGAGCCTGGCTCAAATCTATGAATTTTATAAGGTTTCTGATAGGATGATTTTAATAAGTTCAGGACAGAATTTGCTGGAAGCTTAATGGTTCATGCTAGAAACTTATACTGGTGATGAAATCTAGTTGTCGGATTGGAGAAGGGAATTCACTTCGTCTCATAGCATGGAGTTAAAGAAAAAGTCTGTTACATTACCAAATAAAGTTCATCAAATAAAGTTTACTATAGTATTTAAAATAGGAATTCCTGATGGATTCAGTTCCCACTCTCTCATCACCAGGTGGTGGAGCTGTTGCGTGGAGTCCCTCAATCCACAGAGATCAGAGAGCTGAGACGACTTCTGCGAAATCCAAACTTGAAGGCAAGTGCTGGCCATTGAAAGGGGAGTGGAAATATCTCTCACTGAAATGACTGCAGTACGGGAAGTATGAACTTTGCAGCTGCCTGCAGAAGACAACAAAGAAGGCAATAGAGATTTGGATTAGTTATGGCAAGAAGAAATTAGTGGACAATGGTATCTGTGAATTTGCAAGTGTGGGATTCTTTTCCCCACTTCTGAAGTCGTTGTCTCATCCCCTACCTTATGAAAGAATTAAATATCTACAGTATGCACAACAGACTGATGGTTACTGCTGTTTTTAATATCTATGCTTTTGAGAGGTCTATTTAAAAAAATTCTTAGAGACATGGGGCAGGTATTTTACATGAACAAACTTGGTTTGTCTTAAAAACTATTACAAAGCTTATGTGCTTGTGCTATATCACTAAAAAAGGACACCGCTCTCCGAAGATTAAATTCCAAGAAATCAGGAAAATGTCCAGTGATTGAATTTTTCAGTGGAAAGAGCAATGATGTCACCCACTGCTGTGTGGGTCTGTATTCATGTAAGAATTCAATCTCCTGTTTCTGACTCCTGGACAGCCCCAGTCAAAGCTATTTCTTGGGATGATCTTTGCTTGCTTCTTTCTTCTTGTCACAGGCCTTACTATCAGCTCATGATACTGTGGCCCAGAAAGATTTTGAACCAATCCTTCCCCCTCTACCAGATAACATCCCTGAAAATGAAGAAGCCATGAGGATTGTCTGCTTAGTGAAAAACAAGCAGCCCCTGGTAAGGAAGCTTTCTGATGTTTTGATGATTTGAACTTGTGCAATAGATGTAATAAAGTGTTTTGTATAAATGGGTTATTTATATGCAATGCTATAGACATTTTGTTAATTCTGTTCTCTTTTAAATTGACAAAGACTCATCTTGAACAAATAAAGTGCCTCCTTGGCAAATGGAGTGGGAAGGAGGAAAAAAACTAACAAAATTTCTTGGAAGTCATTTGCCCCTGTTGTTTGCCCCTTTTATGTTATACTATATTTGTGATAAATACAGGGATTAGCACTGGAAAATCATAGCATTAGAGATGGAAAAGATGTATTACAGTAGGCCCTATGTACAATTTTATAGAATGTGAGAGTCGGAAACTGGGCTGTATAATGACCATTTTGTTCATGTCCCTTAAGAGACTAGGTTTACACATCTTTTAATGTATTGTGCACTGTACTTACGGGTTCTGCAATACTGTGCAGCTTGAAGGGGAAAAGGAATCTTTTTCCGTAATCTCCAGTCATTAAGGAGATCAGATTTGCAGTTTGAAAGGAATCTAAAGATATTTATTCTTTTTATTTTGCCAGGGTGCCACCATTAAACGCCATGAGATAACGGGTGACATTGTGGTTGCCAGGGTGATCCATGGTGGGCTAGCAGACAGAAGTGGTAAGTGTCATTTGAAACACACAGCAGGGAAAAAATAGACTCTTTTTTTCTGCAACTGTAAATTCTCTTCTATTAGAACTTTTAGTCACCTTGTACAGTACCATATAAAGAGTAATAATTGTCTCACACTGAAGTATTTCTGACTTTTTTTTTTATTTCTTCATGACTCTCTCATTCCGGGGTAAATGTGTTGCATTCAAAAAGGGTGAGACAGAAAGCCAACGTCCAACACAATCGTACAGTATTTACATTCAACATCAACACCTGGATAAATCTGGCATGAGTTAAGCAGTAATACAAAACAGTGCCACCTGGTATGAACATCAGCACACTGAATTTCATAGAATGTGGATAACTTGCTTGGGCTCTAGTCCCTCCACCATAAAATAGTTCCCATTAGTGTATTATGGCCTCTGTCTGGAGGATAAGTTTACCAAAGTTGTATACAGCAGCTGAATGAGATCCTGTTAGGATTAATTAAGATACACAAGATAACCTATTTAACTGAGTTGAAGGGGAAGATGCAACTACCACTTGTGGTTTGGATGATAGATCATGTATTTCTTGCTTATCTTTAGTACACTTACTTCTGTAGGAACTAGAGATGAGCCCAAACACCAGATCATATTCCTCCACCACCATTACTTCCTCTGAACCATGAAGGGTTTCAGATCTAGGTCTGAACATTGTAACTTAGCCTTTTACTATAATGGTCAGAACCAGAACTCCGAATCTGAACACGTCAGTTTGGGGGGAACTCTAGTTTGGATAAGAATACTTAATGCTCCTCGAGTCCTTTTCATCATCACTAGATCTCAAAGTGCTTTACAAAAAAAGGGGAAGAATTAATACACCTATTCTATAGATAGAGAAACTGAGTCTCAGAGAAGTCAAGTCAATTGCTTGAGATTGCACAATGAAGCCTATAACAGAGCTGTCTGCTCGATCCACAGCACAATACTACTTCAGATCTGAAATTCCTGACTCGGGTCCGAATCTAGGATAGGGGCATTTCTTATTTCAGGGCTGTTCTCCGGTCTTCTGTTGCATCTCTGAACTTTTTCAGATTCACATCTTCTCTATAATAAGTGTGTCTTCTTTCCTATACCTTTTTATTCTAGGATTGTTGTATGCTGGAGACAAGCTGGTAGAGGTGAATGGAGTTTCAGTGGAGGGACTAGAGCCAGAGCAAGTTATCCACATTCTGGTATGAAATGCACTTTACATTTTTTTTTAATTTCTTTGTAGTTCTTTGTAAAAAGAGCAGCCTAAATTCTCAATGTAAATTTCTAGAGGAAGGAAGACCTACACACAAGCAATAATTTTACATGTAATGTACTATTTTGTCTGTTTCTTCATTGTGGGTGAAGTTCATCCTGTGCAGTGAGCCAGCACATGGCCTATGTGCTATTTAAGCCCTCTAAATAGAGCCTAAGTGGTACATAAACACTGTCGTGGACCTCTGTGTAGGGGTGCATTCGACCCTTTGCCTTTTGAACTAGGGGTCCTTTGGGACCAGTAGAACCTCACTAATTCGCTCTATCTAAAATCAATAATTCTGCCAATCTCACTTCATTTCTCTGCAAAGGATTAGTTGCAGAATGCTGTCATAAGGTGTCACGTTCCTAAGCCTTCATTCATTTTACAAAATGCATTAACTCCTATATTACCAAGTACTGTCATAAATAATTTAAACTAAAATAATCTTTGTTAAAATTAGCAAACAAAGATCACTCCGTGATGTACTATCCCTGATGTTTGTTAGCTTGCTCACCAGGTCACAATATTTAGTATTCTCCATTGGCTCTCTAGTTGTTAGTGCCAATCAGTGAGGTTCCTCTCTGTTTGGTTAGTGTCTGTTCTTTTATTTGTTTCTCTCTCGTGATTTCTCTGTTTGCACCATCTTTGGATGCATAACACACCATTAGAAATACAAACTTCACCATAACACAAAATCTACAAATCTTGAAAACATGCTTGCACAGCCGAGCCCTATATAGTTAATTTAAATTAGACTCCAGAACTAAAATTAATTGTGAATTGATACTGAAAATATGTATGTTTTTAACAAGACATATATTTAAGGGAATTAGAAATCTTAGCAAGGTTCCAAAGTTTCCCACACAGGAATTAAATCAATCTTTCTTTTAAAGATCTTTGTTTTAACAATGATTCTGTATATGGCATTCTGCTGAGCTAAGCAATTTCCATTCTTATAATAAGGATATTTATAATGGGCTTTTGGAGCCATCATTCGTCTTGGAGTGATGAAACTTAAAATGCTTTCAGTGTGTTACCAGTAGCAAATATATTTTGACCTTTTTTTTCCTTCTGAAATCTTTTAGTCTCTGTCCCAGGGAACAATTATGTTCAAACTGATTCCGGTTTCTGAACGGCCAGTCAGCAACCAAACAACAGTAAGAGATTCATTTATTTTTTCTTCCAGATTATCATTGTTACTGCAGACAGTTAATCCAATAATGTCTAATGGGCAGTCTGCACAGTGTGATACATGAGGGTAAGGCTGTTTAGAAGCATTTATTGCCAGCCCAGCTCACAGAAAGCTCTAATAACATGTCTTGCCTAGACATATATGTCTCCACTGAAATAGTTTGCTGTAGGTAATGTAATTAAATGTAGCAAGCTGTGATAAAGTTAAAGGTAGTGAAGGCATCTCTGGTGTGATCCAGAGGGAGAAGGTCAAATTGTTCACAGTATAATAGGTGACAACATTTTTCTTGATCAGGAAAATACCGGTAGTTGGATTTTGGACCTGGTACTCTTCCCATTGAAGTCAATGGCAAAACTTTTGTTGACTTCATCTGAAGTCAGATCAGGCCCTTAGGGTAACAGTGTGTATGAATATTTACAAACTATCTGTTCTGAGGAAGCTCACCTTCACTCATGTCTGTATGTTCTCTATCAGCTCTATGTGCGAGCAATGGCAGATTACTGGCCCCTGCAGGACCCTGCCATACCTTGTGCTGATGCAGGCTTGCCCTTTAAAAAGGGTGAAATCCTTCAGATTGTTGACCAGAATGATGTCCTCTGGTGGCAGGCAAGGCAAGTCTCAGACCTGAGTGCCTGTGCTGGGCTGATACCATCAAACCATCTTCTGAAGAGGTAAGAAAATGTAGGGTTTCTGAACTCAAACCAGAGAATGAGCCAGTTACCTTCTGAACTTAGCAATTATAGAACGGATTGATTCAGTCAATAAAGACGCACTGATGCCTGCAGACAGTGTGAGCCTTCTGTATGTGTCTTCTCCTGTTTTAATAGTACTATGGATGTTGGTGTGAAAACAGGAAATTTTTTCACTTTAAGTCTGATTGTAAGTAATTCAGGCAGAGGCATCGTCTTTATATTACTGTGTAAAGCCCCTAACAGTACATAAACTAAGATAAATAGCTTCAGACAAAGATTTAAGGACCTTGGTTTCTCAGTACTGTCCTTCATGATACAAAAAATATAAAGAAAAAATCAGAATTTGTTAGAGGCATAATTATTTTTAAAAATCACTACAGTATTTTAAAGGTGTGTCTGAGGCATGTGTAGCTTTGTGTTTTTCATACTCAAAGCAGAGCTGAAAGTTTTTTTTGTTTGTTTTTAAATGAAACAGAAAACCACTTCCCTGTTTTCTGCATATAGTCTGTTTATATTTAGAAAGGACCCTTTTACACAAAGTTGCCTACTTTATACAGCTTCTCTAGCATGGTTCTATAACCATGTTGTACTATCCAGGGTACAAACAAAAAAAGCATAGGGTGCCCCTAATTGTGCCAGACAACTGACTACTGATAAGCTTAGAGTTGTAACGCACGCAGGCCCAGAGGGAGTTGTAATTGGGCTCTCTCTGACACAGAGTCTTAATACAGCACACTTCCCACTTCCAACCATGTGTACCACACTACAGTTAATACTGCTCTTCTCCATTAAGTTCATTAATTTGGGGCAATACTTTCAGGCCAATGATGTCGAATATTGGCATTCAGATAGGTGTGGTAGGACACTGGCTTCCCTCCAACAGTTGCAGGTGGGGTAGAACACTAGCTATGCTTCCACTCTTGGTGGTTGGTAATGGTGTTTATCCTTCAGGTAGCTCTGAGCACTCATGTCATTTTGTGTGCAGGTGATAGAATGGAGCATCTAAGTAGGAAGTAATACAATGCTGAATTGATTTCTTATTGTGATGGATTCCTTTCTGTTCAGGAAACAGCGAGAATTCTGGTGGTCTCAGCCCTTCCAGCCCCATGTCTGTCTCAAATCAACAATATGTGAGTGCAAAATTCTCCAGCTGCCAGTTAGAACGGGGAGGGAGAAGTCTGTTTTTTGTTTCTTACATCCAGTAATACAGAAATTAAACATGATCAAATGAGTTTATATACCAAGAATCATTCATTGGGCCATATTGTGACCTCAGAAATGCATTTAGAATCCCCACTGAAATCTGTGGGTGTAGCAGGTGTATCTGAATTCGGCACTTAACCTGTTTTGGATTCTAAGGATCATTATTGTTATCAGAATACAGTATATTTAGGATCTAATCCTGTAAAGTGCCAAGCACCTTGAATTCCCAGCTGAGAGTACTCAACACCATTCAGGACTGAGCCTTGTATGTAGGCTATTCGTAGGAAGAAATCTCTACTGTTTGTGCCCTACTGAAGCACTTATTAGACAAGTTTATTGTAGATTTCCCTAGAAGAGAGACTAAGGCATGGCTAGTAGTTCTGTACCAGAAAATACCCTGCAATGTGTCATGTTTAGCATTTCAGTTACTGAAATCATACCATTTCATTTTTCAGTCTTTCCTTGTAGAATAAATGTGATAGTTTTAAACTGTATTTCTCTTATTAAAGCTGTCTTTTCCCTCATATGAATGCTTGTTCATTGCCATTTAGTTGACTTCTGGGCCTAGTGTCTAAGATGACATGGAAAAACAGATATAACCAATTGACTTTGTGGTTTATTTGTAAAGTAAAAGCCAGAAGTGTACCTCCCCCCCCTAAACTATCCTTTTATTGGCTCTAAATGCAATAATTTCCCATCCAGGAAATACATTTTCTCCTGCTTCCCCTTTTCCTCTCCCACAACTTCTGTTTTTCTGTGGTCTGCATTATTACTTGCTAATACTTTTTATGACCCATGAGGTGGATTTCCAGTTAAGTCAATGCTCTGTATTTTCATCTTTCAAGAGTCTTTCTGATGCAGTTAATTTTATTTGGTAATTGTAGCACTGGCAATCTCTTTAGTTGTGTATTTATTTTTAACTGCTTCAATGGATTTGCCATGGACAGTGAGTACTGTGGAAGAAGGTAAGAGATGATGCCTGGATTACATCAGATTGGAATACCTCACATCTGCTTGCAAGTCCAGCATTAGCTGATCTCTAAATGTACAAGATACTGTCTTGTTTATAAAGACTTTAAAAATGACTAGATGCTATATTTGTACTTACAAGGATACATGTCAGGATTGGTTGGGACAGTTTTCCTTTTACATCTCTCTGCCCAGGCTATCTGCATCGTGTGTAAATAGGGTGACTAAAGAAATGCTTCATTGTGGTTTGTTCACTTAAAAATACCCATAGCTCAGCAGTTATGTCTGATCAGATGTTTGAACTGGAAAATCCGGAGCTTGTGTTGCATGGAGAGGGGAATGGGAGAGTTTTGGTGGTCAGTCAGGAAGGTGCACCAGGCTGCTTGGAAGAAGAAAAAGTGCTTTCTCGTTCTCTTGTTTCTGCAGCAACCCACCAATGCTAGGAGCAGCTGTGAAGCATATATTAAACAAAAAAAAAGGGGGGGTGATAGGGAGTAGGGCATCTTGCCTCCCTACTACAAGATGTTGGGCCTGAAGTAGGAATTATTGGGTGAAATCCTATTAATTGCGTTATGCAGCAGGTCAGATTAGATGATCACTTTGGTCCCTTCTGGCTTTAAAATCCTATGAGCTTTTGAGGGCAGTGCATAACGAGGGAGGGTGACAACAGGTGGCCTCGTGGAGGACAGTCCCTGAAGTTTGTACCAGGAACATAGCCCGCCTGCTGTCATGTTCTCCCAGCTGGGTAGCTGCCTCTTCGTGGATCCAGTCTGCAGAGATATACAAACACTAGGACAAAACTGTGTGTTTTGAGCACATCAGACTCTGAAAACCAGGATATTCACCCTATTCTTGTATGGACCTCTAAGTAGAGATGTAAAATATCAACCAGTTAACTGGTAAGCATTAGTCTTACTGGTTAACCCACCTGAACCGTTAACCCCCGGGCTGGAGAAGCCCCAGCGGCCCCGCGCCGGCCAGCCCTTTAATCAGTTAACCATTGAAACTAAATATTTTTAATAGTTTAAACGGTTAACTTATAAAATGGTATTTATATCCCTACCTCTAAGAGCTGACCAGTGTGGTGTGTGCAATGGAGGGAGCAAACTGATAAGGAAATGGATTTCCTTTTCAAGCTTTCAAGCAATTACTAAAACAGAAGAGAGATGTTTAAAAAGCTTTATTTTTCCAATTTTAATTTTAAAAATTGTCAGTGTACATAGCATTCTAGAAAAACATACACATACAAAATTTGCAAAGGGTATTGGGGGGGAATGATGTTCTGATGATAGTCATACTGATCCTTCTCAAATAGATCATCTGAAATACAAACACTGCATCAGTTCAAATTAAACCCCTTTCTTGTTTCAACTGACAATTCAAATCAGGCTTGTTTACCTCCCAGCTGGGAACCCTTTTGAGCATTGGTATAAGAAGCATCTTTCCTCTGCCTATTGAAAGAAAGTTATTAGTACTTTAGAGCAAGGCGCTATTGAAATACTGAAAATGTTTTAACCCAATTTGAGCTTCAGGGGGGATTAGTTTTATGTTGAAGTCTTGAATTTGGTGAAGTTTTTTTTCCCTCCCCCCCCCCCCCCAATGCTTTTGGCGATCATTTGATTTCCTTTCTCTTTTTGTCTGTTATAACCTGCAGAGGACGACATGCAGATTGATGAGAAGTGTGTAGAAACAGGTAACTGACTTCATTTAAGGAGATTCATCTGTGTTCACAACAATATGCCAGCTACACAAAGACCACTAGTGTTTCTTGAATAAAATGGAACATCCTTATAGTGAGTTCATATATAGAGAAGTTCTATTTATAGTGAAGTAGCGTGAAAGCCCCAGACCATTTCAAAGCACTGCGGATCAACAGATAGTGAAGATATTCGGTTGAAATGAATGGCTGTTCTAAATACATACAACTCAATTTGAAATCCAGTGCATTTACAATGCAGATTATAGACTCAGTGGGCCAAATTCAGAGCTGGTGTAAAGGGTGCAACATAGTTGGTCTCAATTTGGCTTATTAAACCTTTAATAATATTAAGTTACTGTGGTTTTAAAGACCCTCTGGCACTCATTGCCACACGTTTTCATTGAGGCAGAAAGTTTAGCTGGATTCAAACACAGGTCGGATGTTTAGATATTGATAACAAGACTATGCAGAATTATATTAACACAGATTATAAAAATAAGAATTTCGGAAAGGATAATGAACCCTTTTGCTTCAAAGCACAAATCAGACTCTTACTAATGAGGTTAAACAGAGAGATTTCTTGGAGGCAGGCTATTCCATAACAGGATTCCTTGCAGTAGCCTCAGAAGCAACAGGCAAAGGCCACTCTTACAGACATGATACTGGATCAGATGGACTGCAGGTCTGATCCAGTATGGCAATTCCTATGTTCCTATATTGCAGGATCTGTTTTCCACTGTGTTGTATTTCTCAATGCAAGACAATAAGGAGTTTGAGTTAGGGATGATGTTCATATCAGAGCTTTCATATATACGGTGTTTGATTTCTGGAACATTAACCTTCTGAGATTGCATGAAATACAAGGAGTTGGACGTGCTTCACTGATGGTAAAAATGAGGAAAAAAATAAAAACCCCAAATCCAAATGTCTTCAAACTTTGGACATTTGGATTCCAATTCTCACTTTTCAGCAACTTTGACAGAAGTTTGGATCCAGATTCTCACTTGGCAGCTCGAGATCATTTCTTATTGAACTAAAAGAAAGCAGTGGATGTATGTTTGGGAAGTTGGCAGGAGTCTGAGAGCCTTATGTGGTCCTTACAGTATTGGAAGGGAAATAATTTCTGATGTGATAAAATTATTTTAAGCAGAAATAGTATTGAAACTAAATGTATTTGCTGTTTTTTGCTATCTGGGTGACGTAAAAGATGAAGAAACATTTGAGTCTGGTAAGTCAAATTCTTCCTGCCTAATTCCAGTTCTGTCTCATCCTCTAAACTCACAGACATGTAAGAGGTATCCAGCAAAAACCAAACCAAACCAAAAAGCAATTAGATTAAAGTGCAATTCTTTCTTGAAAAGTGACTCTCTAAAATAATTACTATTTACTCAGTAGAACTGCTCCCTGTATTTATCCAGAGCCATATCTGGGTGACTTCAGTGACTAAAATAATTTTTTACTGCTGTTTCTTCCTGCTAGCCCTGCAGAGCCCATGTACAGAAGGAAAAGTGAGCTCAATTCTATTCCTTCTTGTGCAGCAAGGTCATCGAGTCCAGCCCTCTGCCTTCACTAGCAGGACCAAGTACTGATTTTTGCCCCAGATCCCTAAGTGGCCCCCTCAAGGATTGAACTCACAACCCTGGGTTTAGCAGGCCAATGCTCAAACCACTGAGCTATCCTGCCCCCCTGAAGAATGTGTTCAACTGTATACCTGAAGCTCTACAAAACTTGGTCTTTTAGAACAAATTAGATCCCACATCATTTCTAAATTTCTCAGTTCAAATAATTTGCTTTCTTATTTTGGTTAAATTATTGGCCCTCTTCTTTTTCCTGCTGTGCTGTTGCTGCTGTATAAGAGTACCAAGGATCTGAACGTGGGCTCTTCCCCATCCGCTTATCTCCAACTCACAGAGGCTTCATTCTTCTCCGCTTTTGAGGGCAATGCTTGAGGCTTACAAAACAGAATAAGGGAGTTTGTGAGGCAGTCACTTGCATCTTTATTCAGGGCCACTAATGCCCTTTTCCCTGCAATAGTTGCGTTCTTGGGGAATTAGTTCAGATTCTGCTCATTATCTGAGTCACCTCTTTTCTGTTTCTAGGCAGCCAAGGGAAAAAGTCCAAAGATCACTCCCAACTCAGGCTTCTACTCTACCTTGACAACTGAGTTATTGGAGCAGATATAGGTTGTACTTTCCAAGTAAACTGTTGGAGAGTGGCCAGAGCCAAACTCTGTAGCTGCGCACCCTCTTGTTTAGGGCGGTAGGATTCAGATCCAAGTTTTGTGGTTTGTCTGGCACATGCTTATTTTAATTTTAAACCAGCATTGGGTGTTTCATAGTTTGCACTCAAGTTGAAGAACATGAATTGGTCCAGTTTTGCCCACTTAGGCTTGAACTTGGTCTTCTCGGAGCCCTAATTTTTCATCTCTCTCTTTTTTGTACGTACTTATCCAAATCTCCAGAGGAGCTTAAAGAAGGTAACTTTAAACTTTTGTCTCCTATAGATTTTTCAACAGCAATCTGCTAAAGCCAGAAAAATACTACAAACAATAGCTCAGTTACTTTCAGGAATTAGGCCCATTACAGTACATAGTTGTTGAATTTGCTTGTTAGCTCTGGGTGGAGAGGTCAGGTCAGGCAGAGGAACAAATCGCTCAGGAGGAAATGACCATGGAAAGTGTGGTAGGCAGATTGCAATGCAATTTTACTTTACTCTGATCCAGAAATCTGTCATCTTTGCTAACAAGGTGATTTATTATCGCTATATACCTTAGCCTGAATGTCTTCAGAGCATGCTCCACAACCCATTATTTGTCAGAGACTTCTCACTATAACCAAAGATGAGGTGTTATTAGTGTACATCCACTGGTGTACACAGGCAGGAAGCAAAGCTTCTAAGAACCTGCGAGAAGTGAAGAGTAGAATCTATTATCAAGTCCACTATGGACAATACCATATGACTCAGTTACTCTTTTGGCACTTATTTGTTCATGAGGCACCCATCAGTGTAGTATCTAATTTTAAAAGGTAATCCCATAGCATGCCTGGTGCTTTCCAAGTGAATGTAAAGACAATGTCTCTGCTCTGGAACAACTTCCATATCAAGTTAGACAAAAGAGACAAAGAAAAGACAGCAGACAGAGGAGATGTAGGGAGAATAAAGCTGAATAACAGAAAAGAAGATACAGTTTAGCTTGGGCAGGAGGGAGGGGAGGCACAGTTTCCCATGGGAAATGAGTTCTGAACACAGCTGTCAAAATAGATTTCTTGCTAGTTATTTTTAACTTTCTTCATCTTGTTTGTTATAAGGTTTGGAAATGTTTTATTAGAGAAGAGTTATATGAAATTTGTGGGGAATTAGACTTCAGGGGCTTTGCAGGAGAAGGGAGTTTTAAGGAGGGAAGGTGTGCACTGTTCAGGAAAGCTGTTCCAAGCACACAGCACAGCATGGGAGAAGGTTTGAAAATGAGAACAGGAGAAGGAAATGAAGGAGATCGGTTAGGCAGGTGATTTGGGCAGTGGGGAGGTATCAAAGTGCCTTTGGGTGTGGAATCTAAGGCTGAGATGTAGTCAGAAGAAATTTTTACAATTGTTCTGGGATTTTTTTAGGTTTACTGATACTTTGAGTTCCCAGATTCTTGATTATTTTAATATTGCCAGCTAGATTCCACCTGAAGAACTTTAATTGCACACTGCTCTTCTGCATTATGAATATTTAAAAACTGTGTGTGGCACTTTAGCTGTTCTTTTTCAAAGATGATAAAGTGTGGGCACTTAAACTCTTATTTAGACTTACTAGTGGGCGATGAGCTTAAATTTCACTTTCATAGAAATGTCAGTGACTTGGTTTAAATCTTTATTATACAGTACTTTAGTGAACTGGTCTCTGTACTTCATGACCTTATTTGTGACATTATCATTAACTTAAATATTTCCAATTCTGTGATATGAAAGATTAGGGGAAATTCAATTGACTGTTCAGTATTCACCCTCCTTTCTCCTTCCCACTTGTTTGTTCTTCATGCCCAGAAGAGGAGGAATTCAGTGGTTCTGGCCAACGGGTCTTTATTGGTATGTGGTGATTAGTGATAGGCAAAAGGTTTGATTTAGACTTGATGCTTGTCTGAAGCTAAATCCAATGTGTGTGATTTTTCTCAGAAGCATTCCTTTCCCTTGCCTCTGAAGATTCCCTGACCCTATCTGTATTCACTTTGCCTTTCTAGATCCCAGTAAGCCACCCTTCCCTTTCAGCTCCTTGCTTGTTGATTCTTTTCCAATAAGCCCACCTCCCCAGCACCTGCATAACTTAGCTGCACTAGGCTTCTGGTCCTTCTGATCGCCTCCTTAAATCTCATGCTGTGGTGTGAACAGCTTCTGGGGCTTTCCCAAGCTGTACAGTGCAGACCATGTGAGGTTTCCAATGCTGGGGATGAGGCCAAGCAGCAAGTCTGTCTCTGGTAAGTGAACTACAGAACTCTTATGAATCGAGCTGAAAAAAAGGTTGAATTCAGTTGAGAAGTTGGATGAATGTTTGGAGCAGTTAAGTTTTCCAGAGCAAGTCACCCATTCCTAATGATGATATATATGGCTGGAAATCTCCCTCTGGTTTGTTTTGCAGACTTGTTTCTGGGGGTCTAATTCTGGACAAAGTTAGTGACTTTCAAGACTTGTGCTTCTATTTTGAAAATCCAAGCTGCTTTCAGAGTCTCCACCAAACTGTTGTATCAAGAACTATAAATAAATTATTTTCTACCTTAAGAAAAGCTACAACTCCAATATGTTCTTGGTAGTCTAGTTGGAGATAATTCAGATAGTGGAACTAGTTATCACCTGCACCCACTGCTTGGCTTTCAATATTAGTTACTTTCTGCCCTTCCCAGCTGGTTTCCGTAGAAGCATGCGTCTGTGCCGCAGGAAATCCCAGAACAGCCAGCAGCCTTGTTACGCACGGTGTCCCAGCAGCTGTTACAGCGCAGCAGCAGCAGCCCCTTATGAGGAGGTGGTGAGATACCAGCGACATCCCACAGATCGAAATCGACTAATTGTACTAGTGGGTATGTTGCAGCAACTGACAGGAGCATTCCCCCAGACAGGGATGCACCTACTCATGCAAATCATACAAGCTCTAGTAAATACAGAGGGAAGTGTCCTTACTGCTCAAGCTCTTGTGGAATGAGAAATTCAATAAAAGCCCGATCCACTGGGAGTCCTCCCACTGACTGCAGTGGGCAGTGACTTGGGCCCTAACAGATAGTTCTTGAAGGGTGGTGGACCCAAAGTTTGACCTACCTTTTATTTTTTCCAAACACCAGTTTTATAAAGTCTATGTGGTTTCTGTTGTTCCAAAACATTTCCTTCAATGCTTTAAAAGTTTCAGCAATGCAATACAATCAGACAACCCTACAGTAACAAATATTGGAAGAAAATGCATTTCATCATGAAAACAGAGTCCAGTTTAACTTCTGTGAGGTTATTATGTAAATAGCAATGATAAAACATTTATAAATCCTTTGTGACCAATACCTTGAAGTGATGCGTTTATAGGACTATGGTTAAGAACAAACCGAAACAGCAATGGAGGGAGGGATATTAAAAACCCAGCCTGGAAAACTTCAGCCTTATGCTGTTGGGAAAGTTAGGAGTATATCAATGTGGATATTGGCAGGTGGAGTGGCAGCAGTACTGCAGCTGTCATGGTTCCTGCCCCACAGCCCCTTTTATCCCTTCCCCCGCCTCCGGGGTGAGCATGGCCCTTCTTCAGCCTCTTGACCATGGCATGCCCCCACTCCCCAGCACCTTGGGCAGTTGCCCTCGCTGCCCACCCATAAGGCTGGCCCTGAGCTAGTATCATGATATGTGATGGGTTGCTGGTCCTAAAATGGAATTTTAGATTTAATAATTGTTTGAATGGAAGCTGCTCATATTTTTGCTAGGTGCAGTGTTCCTGGATATTTGTGCTGAGGGGAGAACCTCTCCCCCGGGCTAGAGCTGTACACGTTTGAGATATATCTGTAGATCTAGATGTACAGATATAATTCAAATTAGTATTGCTGAACCCCCTTCTGGCAGTGGCTATTTTGCTAGAAAGTGATGACCCGATCCTGCAGAGTGTTAAATAGTCACAGCTCCTGTTGAATTCAATGGGAACTGTAGATGCCTTGCACTGTTCAGGGTCAGGCCCCTAATTTGTGATGCCACCAGTTGGGAAGCTCAGTGGAGGAAGCAGTAACGTGATTTCCATGCCTGTCATTTACTTCACCAGTTCTTGCATATGAGACAATACCTGAACATGTTATTTGACTGTCATAAATATGATACACTCATAGTCTTAAACTATTTTATGTGTAGTCTGTCATTAATGTACCAGAGTTACTGTGTGTGGTCTTTTTTTTTTTAATATCCAGGTCCTTCAGGGGTTGGCGTGAATGAGCTAAGGCGGCGGCTTATTGGAATGAACCCTCATCATTTTCAAAGTGCTGTACCCCGTATGTGACATGTTCCTTTCACTCTCTAACTTCCTGCTTGGGGGAAAGAAAACATGAAATATCAACTCCCTTTCTCCTGCCATGGAATGTTTATAGACTCTTTGCTGCAGGGATGGTTTCCCTATCAATCAATAATATTGTGCTGTCTCTGAATGTATGAATTTAACAGGGCACAGATGCCTAGACTAACAATACACATTTCCTTTTATTTTTGTGGGAATTACAGGAAAGAAGGGAAAGCTACTTTCTTTTACTGGGCTTTATTTAAAATATTGTCTTTGGTCAGTTTTTCCAGCTGGCAGGGGAAAAGGAAGGATGGTCTTAAGCCACTGTTACTTTGAATTGATTCTTGGTATGCCTGGGTTTGATTCTTGGTATGGCAATGGATTACCTGCCTGACTTTGGACAAGTCACTTAATCTCATTATACCTCATTTGTAAAATGGGGCTATGGGTCCTTCCCAGGGGAGTAGTGAAGATAAATTCATTGAATATTTGTTTATAAGGTGTCCAGATATTATGGGAATGAGGGCCCTATAAATACCCAGATAGACAGGAAACTAGCAACCCTTGTAGATTTCCCTCCTAGCATACTAAATCTAAAGCAGATTCTTACAATTTCTCATCTCTGACTTGAATGGAGAGAAGTTTGGTGCGTCTGCTCATTCGATACAAGGTTTTGTGAAGATAAAACACCAGGAGTGCAAGGCTCTAAATACCTGTTTTAATACAGTTTTAAAACTGATAAATTGCTCCAGTTCCTCAATCTTACATTTCTTAGCCTTCTCAAATAAATTAACATAATATAAAATGGAGTTGTGCAGGCAATTTTTAAAATACTATAGAACTAGTCTTCATGCACTGCCATTTGTTGAGGTGGTTTTCTTTTTTCAGTGTAGCAGGAAAGTTAAATCGGCGGGAGGAGTGTACAACTCCACTGTTTCATCAGCGAAAGCGGACTTTTGTTGACAAAACTGTAGTGTAGACAAGGTCTAAGTCTAATGCTTCACTGTCCCTTCAGGAACAATGCCCATTGTGCTTAAAATGGACCCCAAAGGGTAGATTCAATTTTGGAAGATTTGCTGACCTCACTCTAGTGTAAACAGGGCTTTTGCTGTGAGCTAGAAAGTAGAAACCATTCGTTTATTATTTCCTTTTGATTACTTGTGAAAATGAACAGAGTTTTTAAAATTTATATATTCACATCTCCAAAAATGGAGTTTGGGAGTCCTGGTTTTTTCACTAGGAACTTTGTTCTCAAATTGATTTACTGAAGAAAGAAAACGTTTACAAGAACTTTAAAAACTTTTAATTTTTCTTTCTTAAGACACCACTCGTGCTCAGAAGAGCTATGAAGAGAACGGTCGTGAGTATCACTATGTATCAAAGGAAACATTTGAAAACATGGTATATAGTCACAGGTAACTTTGCTTTCATCTCTAAAGTTTAATGTGCTCCAAGGCAGGGATAGTCTTGTGGTTTAGCCCAAATGCTGACAGTCAGAAGACCAGAGTTCTTTTCCTCCTCTGCCACAGACTTCTGGTGTGAGCCATAGGATATATGTACACTGCACTTAAAAATCCACAGCTGACTCGGGCTTACTGGGCTCAGGCTAAGGGGCTGTTTAATTGCAGTGTAGATGTTTAGGCTTGGGCTGGAGCCCAGGCTCTAAGACTCTGAAGTTGAAGAGTCCTTGAGCTAGGGCTGTAGCCGAAGCCTGAATGCCTACACTGCAGTTAAACAGCCCCTTAGCCTGAGCCCCATGAGCTGAGTCCGCTGGCACTGCCCAGAATTGGTGTCTAATTGCTGTGTACACACACACATTCTTAGGCCCAGATTTTCAAAGTAGCTTCTCCTTTGGAGTGTGTTGGTTTTTGACTGCCTAGTTTTAGCAGCCTTGGACCTGATTCTTAGAAGGGCTGAGCACCTGCAACTCCTGTTGACTTCAGTTGGAGTTATGGGTTCTCAACACTTCTGAAAATCTGACTATACGTTTCTAAAATAAGGCTAAAACTGAGCACCCAAAATCAGGCCCCGATCCCACATCCACCGCTTTACTGGGCATGGGCCTCGCAATGGGCCTTGAAGGCACCAGAACCTTTAAGGACCAAATTTTCAAAAGTGCCCTCTAACTTGTACGCTGCAGTTTCCCCATTAGTAAAACGAGGATAATGTTTACCTAATTCAAAGGGCTGTTATGAGGCATAATTCATTAAAGCATATAAAGCACTTTGGGTACATCTTTACAGCATCCTGCAGCAGCAAGTCTGAGCCTCGGTCTTCAGACTTGGGCTCGCACTATGGTGCTAAAAATAGCGATGTAGACATTCCACCCTCTTCCCTGGGCTTCATAGCCTGAGCTCAGACCCAAGCCAGAAGGTCTGTAATATGGCTATTTCTTTTTTTTTTTTTTTAAGCTTCGTAGTGCAAGCTCCACGAGCCTAAGTCTGTAAACCCAGCCTCTGAGACTCTCTGGGGTTTGGGTGTGGTATTTTTTTTTATTATTATTATTTTTGCACTGTGTAGATGTACCCTTTTTCTTCGAGTGCTTGCTCATGTCCATTCAACTTAGGTGTGTGTGCTTGCCACATGCACCGGTGCCGGAAATTTTTCCTTCAACAGTATCCATAGGGGACCAGCTCCAGCACCCCCCGGAGCAGTGCACACATGCCGCGGTATATAGGGTGCCGCCGGTTCCCCCCACCCTCAGTTCCTTCTCGCCGCCAGTGATGGTGCTGGAACTGTTGCTGCTTCAGCTAGTGCTGTTGCTGCTCATTCGTATGAACTAGTTATCTCTTGTATTACAGTTGTCTGTTAGTGTTTATAAATCCCTTAGCTATAGTTAGAGACTTCGTAGGTCCCGGACAGGACTTTGCCTCGCACAGGGAGCGACAAGGTCAACCCGGGGCTACCCCTAAGAACAAAGACTCTAAGAGACTAGACTCATTTGGCCGTAAGGTTTATTCATCCCCTAGCCTCCAGTTCAGGGAAGCCAACCATCAAGCCCTCCTGGGACGCTATGATTTTATGTGGCAAGCCATAGCCAAATTCAAGGGCTTTCTTCCTGAAGCTTCTAGGAAGGAGTTCTGGGCTATTATGGACGAGGGCACAACTGCGGCCAGGGCAACGCTCCAGGCGGCAGCGGATGCAGAGGACACCACTGCCCAAACCATGGCCTTAGCCATCGCTATGCACCAGGCATCCTGGGTGCTCCTCTCTGGCTTGTCCATGGAGGCTCAGCAGTTGATGCAAGCCCTGTTTGCAGAACAGATGGACAATAAGGTTCATGGCCTAAAGGACTCCCACACGACTCTTAAAACGCTGGGCCTGTATGTTCCTGGCCCTGCCCACAGGCAGTTAAAGCGGCAGCAGCCTCAGGGCCAGGGGAGCCACCCTCACTTAAACCAAGGTCCGAGGCATCCGAAACCAACTTGACTGAGTGAAGAGTG